TATGCTGGGAAATTGGTTCAAGACTATTGACTAACATGAGATTTGCGATTTCATCTCATATGGTAGTGTAAGGCCTGAGGTTGCATCTGTGTATATTTCGGTGAAACTTTTCTGTTGGCTTTTCTGTAATATTTAATCTTTGAGTCTGTTTTCTCTATTAAATAAACTTTTTGTTTATTTTTACCCCATGCAGGTCTCTGGTGTGCAAACTGTCTGGCATGTGTGAGCCAAAGTAAACTGATTACTGGGTGAGGAACCAGAGGGGGAAAGTCAGTGTCTGACAAGAATCCAGCAAGGATAAATTTGGGAGACTTAGGGTTGGAAGGACTGTTAGTATTACCTTTGTGGGGAGGCTACTGGCATCAGGGATCTGAGCCATAGAAGCAAAGCACTAAGTTCCTGGGATAGGCCGTGATCACTCTGGGTATTCCCCGGGTGTGTCAGTCCCTCAGTGATCCCTCTGCACAAATTTAATTTTCTAGAGCCTGCTGGGATCTCTGAGTTAAAGGGCCTATGAAAATGTAAGATCACTTTAACCTGTAGAGGGAACAGGATGGAGGGATCACAGAATTTCAGGGGGGAAAAAGCAAACTTTGTCATTTAACAAAATTAGATGCTTTCACAACAACGTACCAGTTGTAAGTGCAGTTGGTAGTAACCAGTTGGGAAAGAGCGCTTCTTCCCTGCCTCTTTTTTGGCTCAGTGCCTGAAAGACACTCAGTTTTCCACATCAAGCTAAGTCAGTGTAACCACCATTTCAAGTGGTTTGTGTGTGTCTGTACTGGTGTTTAGTTAGATTGATTTTAGTTTTCTAGTAAGCAGGTATTCTGTCATAGACAGGGCCTAAAATGACTATACTTTATTCATTGCCAGGGCAGTGATATTTAAGGCTATAGAAATCAGGATAGTGAATTTTCAGCCCAATGTGGGGATTTTAGAGTAACTAGTATAGCGCTAGCCTAAATTCACAATAGAATATTTAAAATCTTACAGTAAAATGTGATCATTACCAAATATTGATTAGTTATAAAAAAACTGCTTAAGCCAATAGAAGAATTGCAATCAATATCCACAACTTCTGTGCAATACATATCCTTAGACTACAATAAAAGGGCAGAATACATTTTTACCGTAAATATATCTCATCTAAAATAAGATAGGAGCAAAAGATAATTCATCACTTTTGTAATGTATTCACTTCTTCAGGAAAATTTAGCAGGAGTCAGGCTTACAGGATAGGGTCCTTAAACAAATAATCTGGTAGCACTTTAAAGACTAACAAAACATGTAGACAGTATCATGAGCTTTCATGTGCACAGGCCACTTCTTCCTATGACCAGAGTATTGGATGTCCAGAACTAAAATAAATAGGGAAGGGTGAGGGACAAGAAGAAGCAGGGGGTATAAAAATGTCAAGGGGAAGCTGGAATTTAACAGGAAAAACAAATAGTCTATAAGCATCTAAAGCAGCTATGGCCAACCTGCAGCTCATGAGCCGCATGCGGCTCTTCCCGTCCCCCCTCAGTGCGGGAACCTGCAGAGGCCAAAAAGTATGGAAATGTGCATCTCGTGTTTCTTAAAGGGATAGGCCTTTTTTTTTTTTTTGCTCTACAAAAAAATGGAGGGGCAGGGGACGGGCCCCCATGACCTCCCCCC